CCCGAGGATCCATAAAGTCTCGGCCGAAGGCACGGAGCCGTCTGATTTACAGCGGCAGGTCCAGCACAAGACCCGCACCGTGTCACACACGATTAAGTCAGTAAGATAAGGGGCAGATGTCAGTGGAGGCTTTTAGACCCAGGCTGGTGAGCAAACCATCGCTGTGGCAACTTCAAAAAAAAAACAAAAAAAAAAACAAAGCACTTAGAAAAGTCAGATGCCAGATGCTATCGTATCCAGGGCCTGGACATAATAAGAAAATAATTAATAAGTCTTTTCAAGGACGCCTCCTTACACAGAAATGGGTTGCAGGCAATGTGAGGACGCACAACATCGTGGTCCTAAATGTAAACTGGAAACATGTCTCATCTCAGAACGAACACGATTCTTTTAATATCATAACAATGTCTGTATGAAATAAAACTACACAATCTATGTAACAACCACCAAACCCAACCAATGACCACCATCCGTCCGACAAAAGACAAAAACTATCAGCTGCCACTGAGAGGCCTGTATCCATGTTAGCATAAAACTCCCTATGATATCTTTAGATGTGTCCTCTGTGGAGGACATTTCTAAACCTGAATATCTCCCACCCACCGCAGACCACCGAATGAACTCCATATCTACAGAGGGTATTATGGGGCATTTCAATGATACCATATGTGAATAGGTCAGGCTAATTAGCTTACAAAGATTGGGGAATTTAAGAAAACAAAATGTGATTGGACAATATTATAAATTAATATTGTAATATTTCTCCTGGTAGTAAGGAAGAAAAGTCAAAGGGAGACTAAATTTTGCCAAAATATTTAGCCATAAAATAAACAGTTGTCTTTTTTATCTGAGGGGCACGTTGTGAAATTTAGTTATTATTTTTTATATGGAAATTCAAAGCTTGTACTGATATTTTTTTAATTGATCTAGACCAGCCCCGGGCAAACTACGGCCCGTGGGCCATATACGGTCGGCTGGGCTTTCTAGTCCGGCTCGCCAAACACTGGCAGAGACTGATGTAATTCCTTTTGTCATGCACTGCAAAGTTAGTTCATTGTAATTGTAATTCCAGTTAATGCCACTAGATGGCAGCAGACACCAAATGTGCCGGATTTTTTTTGAAAATGTACTTTATGCTGTTAGATTGTACATTTTATTTACTGTATATTATTTCACACAAACATTCTACATCCAAACCATACGGCACCAGCCCGCTGGTCGAAATTTGGAACCTCATTTTGGCCCGTGAGCCAAAGGGTTTGCCCACCCGTGAGATCTAGAATGAGCCGTTTCTTCTGGGCTTCCCTCCTACTTGTGAAGTGAGACCATAAAATATTAAGTAAGAGTAGATGCCACTATAAAATCTACACAATGTACCTTCGGACAGAATGATAGCTAAGTGTTAGCTAAAATTTTGCGAATCTATGATCAAGAAAACCCCCCAAAAAATTGTTAGCATTTGCACAGCAGAAACAAACAAGACGTCTTCACACATTCGACTGAGTTTGGCTTCTAAAAATTGACAGATCAATTTTAAGCTATACCATTTGCTATATTTTGTTAGCCTCGTACTTCTACACCAAAACCAAATCCGAGGCTGCACCATCCGATTTACATTTCCAGGGCAGTCGCTCAGCCCACACTATTAAGTCAGTGAGATAAAGGACAGCTGACAGTGGTAGCTTTCAGACTTGGCCTTGCCAGCAACCCGTCGCTGTAGCAACACACACAAAAAAACTGCACCGAGAAGAAACGGTCTGTGCTTGGATGACAGGAAGTGCAGGCCCTTGTAAGGCTGGTGGAGCAGATTTGCAGGGTTACTAACGCTTTCTGACGACGGCGGTGAGTCAGAGGCCGCTCTGCTCAGGTGTCGTGAGCTTCCAGATACTCGGCCATCTGTCACTGCTGCGGCTCCTGGAGACTCAGCGATCTGTTGACGGTACTGGAGCAGGGAGGCACACAGTCGGGACCCGAGGGACACCAGTCCCGAAGGAAGGAGACATTTGGTGTTGTTTATACAGCGGAATAAAATCACATGAAACATGGATATAATCATTCTTGCGTCGTCCCATGTGTATTTTTTATTCCCACTGTGGATACAAACTTTAAAAATGGGTCACAAATACGGAGACTTGTGCGCCGTTTTTTTTTTTTTAGACTCCGGTTAATTAGGGATTGAACAAGATCCAAATTCACTCGACTTTTTTTTTTTTTTTTTTTGTTCTGTCTTGTTTGTTTGTTTTCATCTCAATCAGAAGTTTGGAAACAGAAATGTTCCAAAAAGTAGATTGTTTTAAAAAAGGATGAAAACGGAGGAAATTATAGGATTTTTTTTTATTATTACTGTTGTTTTATTATTATTGGTGTTAAGTTTTACTAAGATGCAGGAAAAAAAAATTTAGACCTGAATCTGGTGTTCATGACGAGTACATTCAGTATTGGTCGGATATTGGTCCAAACTTTACGATTGTACATCGAAAACACACACTACAGCTCATCCAATCAGATACTTAAGCCCAAATTCCTCAACTTAACTCTCACTATCGCCTCAGAAAAAGAAGGTATCAAAATGATATCGGTATCGGCAGACACTCCAAGTTGCAGTATTGGTATCGGACATGATCAAATTTTCTGCTGGAATTACTGAGCCGAGAAGTGATTGAAACCTTTCCTAACCAATCACGTTGCGAAACCGGGCCGTTTGTCTTTTTATAACGACGAAGACAAGAAAATATCATTCACATGTACAGTAAGTATGGATGTGGGCTCTGCGAACGTCGGACGTCTACCTGTGAACATATGTCGCAGTTCCACTGATGTCACTCCTGTCTTTATTTATAATTAGCTGCGCTTCATAATGTAATGATTTTGGCGGCTGTTCTCGTTTATCGGTTTTAATCATGCTGAAATTGATGAAAAAACAAAACAAAAAAACCACAAAGCATATGGTGCTGACTTGAGCTGTTATGATGATGACTCAGCTCCTTCTTTGGCAAAGCATCAAGCTCTGGTTCCCACTGCTTTAGTCAAACATCTCCGCAGGCTCCAGCGCCACATTATTATTATTATTACTGAGGATTTTTGATGACTAACAAAAGCGGCTAAATAACAACAACGTCTCCGTCACCGTTGATTTTCCGTGGTCGCCGGAGACTTTTCTCTTTCTCACCTGTAGCTTCGAGAAACGGAAACACGGAGACGTCATCGCACCAGAGACCTTGCTAAAACATCCCTGGGCTTTTGTTCTAGCAAATGAAACTAATAAAAAACTGATTGAAAAAAAAAAAAACAACAACAAGTAGCAACAAACCTGCTGTAAACCAGCCTCTTTGGTTTCTCCAATTGAAAAAGGAGAAACCTTCCTCGGAGAGGAGAAAAGTCAGATTCATTTGTTAAGTGCTGACGTTAACAGTGACGGGCGATCTTTGATACAGCAGCAGTTTGGGTTTTATCACAGCAAGGGGAGAAATGTAAGAGGAAGCTGTTTTCATACCCGACCCTGGGTCATTCAGACCAGGGGTCCGCAACCCCCGGTGTGTAGGTCATTTGGTACTTCAGTTTTACTAATTTACTTCATTCCAAAAGAATCCAGTCATATCCCTTTAGTTTTTCATTTGAAGATAATCTGACAAGGTTTCAAAACCACAGGTCATTCTGACTTTGATGCTAACAGAAGAAAGTCTTTGGAAAATTGAATGATCCTTCAACAACGGCGTGGTATTACCGGTCCGCAGTAACGGCTGATACCCACCGAGCGGTCTTTGGTACAAATAAAAGGATGGGGGATTTTGGAAGCAGATGTTTTCTGACAAGCTAATCTTTACATTACATTCAGCAGACCCTTCTATCCAAAGCGACTTGTGTGAAATGTGACCTCTGCATTTAACCCATCACCAAAGTGAACTGTGCTTTGTGAGCGCCCCGGGGGGAGCAGTGTGTGTGTGGACTCAAACCTGCAACCTTCCAGACCCAAGTCTGCTTCCACTAAGTCACCACTGCCACAAAAGTAAGAGTAGATATGAGATACGAGATGTTCTTTGAAGAGAAACGTTTTCTAGTGCTTCTTAAAAAAAAAAGGGGGTCTAGTCAAGCAGGGGGGGAGACCTAATAGGAGGGCATGGCGTCATTCTAGGGGGGCGA